TAAAGCATTGTTTATCAAATTTTCTTTTAGGATTTTCAAGAGTAAGAACAAAATAATAATTCGGTGAAGTTTCAATGTCAGGGAATGTTTCTTACGCGTTCACCCTTCTCTCGAAGTTGCCATTGCATCCTGCCGTGTTTTGTGCGAAATACGAGCATAAAATCGATTTTTCAAACTTTTCCTAATTTCTCCTTTAAAATGAATCGTTTGAACCCAAAACTATTTTTCCTTAAATAAGGTCACTAAAAGGGATGTTTTGGCAAAATAAAAAAAAATTCGATTTTTTGGCGAGTGTCGTGCGATTCTCGATTTTCTCAGATAATGGCTCTTAAGCAGACGAAAGACAGCTTTTCCCAATAGGCTAGCATCCTATTCATGACGGCCTTGAGGTTTCAGAGAAGGTTACTTGAATTTGTCGAGATACCAGCTTTGATGGTAAGTATTGTATGTTGCAAAAATGTCTTATTTACTGCTTGACCGCGGAAAGTGAAACTACCTGACGGACGTCGTATGCTCTAGCTTTGATGCTGATAGGAAGTACTGTTAGAAAGGCAGAGGGATATTAAATTTTTCCTGCCTTTCTAGAAGTTATCCCTGAAACCCCTCTACACAAGGCTTTTTACTGCTTCATCCGGCTGTAACATTAAGTTATTGATACCGAAGGTGGAATATGTCCCAGCGCCGTCCTACGATCAAAAGTTTCGTGAACCAAACTTCTACCACAACATAGCGACATAGCATAACGATTATGTGTTATAGTCACTCTAATGATTTTGTAGCGCCACTTGCTTGTATGCACGAGAGATTAAACTGAGATCAGGCTCTATTTTCGTTTCGCGACCATGTAAGACATCTAAAAGAGAAAGTTTGAGACCTGCTAAAATGAAGTCTATCTACTTAGGTTATGAAACGACTACTGAGAAATCGACGTTTTAATCACTTAGCAGTGACTTCGATATGACAGGCCAGCTATTCGTTAGATTAAAACTTTCAAAGACAATTTTGCTTTTTTTCCATTGACTTTTCGCGACCATTGAAGAACAGAAAAATCGAGCAAATATTGAACGAGAAATAGAAACATACGTCATGCGGAAACATCAAAGAAATTGTCGCGAATGCTTCGAAATTTAATAATTTTGTGTATAAGTCCAGAACAAAAAAGGCATATTATACAGACTTTTTTGCCGATCAGATTATTTTTGGTGGAAAGAAACGACTTATCTGACTAAACTAGTCCGTGAAAAGTCGCGAATTAAGTCGGTACAGGTACAGCTGAAGTGTGGGGAAGTAAAGAACTCGTTCTCATACAACATTATAAAAAGGGGGAAAATGGATGAATTAAAGATTTCTTACCTCTTTTCAATTTCCTTGTTTTGTTCATCAAGGGTTTTCGAATAATTCTTAAACGACTGAAGATTTGGAAATGATTTGCCTCTCGCTTTGATGATTACGTCCCTTGACCGCGAAACGTCCGGCAGGGTCTCACCAACTTTCTTTTCAATTTCTTCTTTGATTAGATTGTACTGATCAGGTGAAACGAGAAGATGGATTGATTCATCGAATAGTTCCCCGACCACGTACGTAAAACCTCTGTGATTCTTATGGAAGGTGTTAAAGAAGGTTCTGATCGTCCCGGCCTTCGCATTTCCTTGGTCGAAAAATCGACTCCATTTTGTCCTCATGGATTCGTATTTGTAGAAAAAGTTGCGATTCTCTGAGGAAGCCATGATGAACAGTGATGAATGTCGTAAACGATATTAAACCTAGTAAATTCCCGTTGGAAAAATATTGATAGTCTGAAAACTCAAATACTAAATGGTTCACTGTGTCTGTGTGGAGAAAGAACTTATTAGACGCTAAGTATTCAGGTTTTGGCAAGTATAGCGCAAACCACTCTGATTGGATCCCTACTTCAAACATATGATGCAATATTCCATCATTTTTCCTTATTTGGAAAATACTTCCTTGAGATGTGCAGCGTCATTGTCAATTAGGACATCCAAGAGCGCCATCTTATATCTAACCTTTTTCTCTATGGTTGCGTAAATGTCGAGGGGGCTTAAGTTAATAGTATTAATAAAAGTGCAAAAAGGGGACACCCACAAAAAGAGGGGGACCCACACCATCCATCGGATCATAAGAATAAGAACCTGGTCTGTTATTGCAGATTACAGGATTGCTTGTCTTAAATATTGATTCAAGCAAAAATACCATAAATGATCGATCTAATACATGGAGGTGGGGGACCCGAGATAGGTGAGGACGCTACGCTACGAAGGGAGAGAAACCTCTGCGAGCATCCGTCTGCTTCTTTGATCGAGCCGCCGTCCAGCGCCATGGACGAATTTATTATCTTTAAACATGTAAAGCCTGTTTAAATACAAGTTAAGGTTCCCTCGCATTTGCTTACACTTACAACTGTTGCCTTCACGCGAGCCTGCTGTGAATTTGCACTCTTTCAATTCAGTATTTATTGGGATTATTCATGTACGCGAACAGCATGAGTCGAACTCCTAAGAACCATATCCAAGTTCAAGAAGAGAAATGACATTTCGCCGTTGATAGTTTACGTTCTCCATAAAACGCGAAATTAGGTATTTTCATGTCGTAGTCGTAGTCCTGCGAAAACGGCAAAAAAGCGTGATGCACGTGCAGAGTTGTTGTCTTGCTTATTAAACCTATTGCTTTGTTGACGTTCTCGTTACCGTCTTGTCGTTGGATATTTAAGTCTCTTATGTTTCCTGCGAAACAAGAGGAAGTGATGACATTTGACGTTTTGACGTAGGCATCGCGTGGACGTGCATGCTCGATGGAAAAGTAAACGGTTGCTCGTAGTGGTTTCTCTCGTAGCGTAGCGTCTGGCCTGGAGAAACCACTGTTCGAAAGGGTACGTTTTTTCTCGCTGAAGCAGTGAACAGTCCTTTCCAGTCGCTACCTAGTTTGTTTAAATAGTGACAAAAGCCTGAGGATGGTGATAAAGGTTACTGGAAAGGACGAGAAGATGATTGCTATTGCTGTCATTGTATCTTTCATTGGGAAAATGCATTGGTACATAATTTCACAATAAAACTGAATGCTAATGATGTTGTTCTGGAGAGAGTCTCATGCGAAATTAATCGTGCGTATGAGCGTGGTCAAGGTCAAACCATGTCTGCTTTCCTCTCGAAGTTATCTTTTCTTTGTTTCTTTGTTTTTGTTTTGTTTCTTTTACTTAAAATACTATTTTAATGTTTCAGCACAAAAGCACTAATTTCTAAGGTGGCCCGAACCTAATCTCGTACCCAGATCTCACTCTGTCTTACGCTAAAAAGACAAAGAGCGAGATCTGGGTACGAGATTAGCCCGAACCTATTTATATGCGCGTTCATGCGCGTTGGTTATGCTTTTGAATCGCGTTTTTCGACAGGAACAATTTAATCGGTTTTTTCTTTGGTTTTTGGCATCCGTAAGAAAGAATGGAACTTTAAGAAAATGTTTTTTTTAAATTTTCTGTTACACATAGAAACGTTCGGGAGATCAGAATACATTTTAAACTGCATTTCGTCAAACTCCTAACACAGATTTTTCGCTCACTTCATGAGATAAGCGTCAGAGCTCTCTGTTTTATATCTACATGTTTGTAGTCAATCGTGACAATACAACTTGTTGCACAAAATGCGGGTCAAATTTAACCTCTTAAATATGCTACGCTAACATATTTGTGAAAGTTGACGCACAAATAGAGGAAGAGTGCCGACGGACTATTTCCTATCCTGAAAGGGCTTTCTAACCTAAAGCTTGATTGCAAGAACTAAGTAATCAGAAAGCTACCAGACTCGTACCCAGTCGCTATTTATGAGTTTCGGGGGTGAGAGAAGACCGGTGGTTGGTTGACGTGCGCGGGGGAAAGCTACGGTGAATACAGTTAGCACTACAAGCTCCTTGGAGATTAGATAAGAAATGAGGAGGCGATTAATTCTACACGAAACTGGATTTCCTCGCTAAAAGTTTTCCACGTCCTACTTGATCAACGGTAGAGTATTCTTCAGGATATTTACTTTTTATATCGAATTCGACTATTTGTTTCTAAGTTGATTGAAAACACGTGTATAAATAGACGAAAATCAAGGGCCCTGATTCGAGAGAAATTACATCATTGCCAAAGAGCAAAAACCTGATGAACATTGCGCGTCATTTCAATCACTGCCGAAAATAAACCGCATGCTCATCAAAGACTCATTTCCATACAATGAAACTGTACAACGCCCGACCAGTTAGCCTCACCATCGAAGTTTTACTCCTAAAGATTCTTGATTGATTGATTGATTGATTGATCTCAGTGAGAGAACTCGTGGACCGACCTGTTCCGGAAAAGCGCGACATCTTTTTCATTAATCCTTCTGACCCGTTCTTCTCAAAACATGCATGATGCTCTGGAAGATTTTTATATGTTGTCAGTCACGTCGCGATTCTCATCCCCAGTTTCCAAGGTCTTCGCTATAGCTGTACTTATGCCCGTCCGTCCGTCAAACCATTTTTTATTGTACTCGTTCGTTCGTTTGGGAGCCGAAGGGACTGGGTTCGATACCTGCTATCTTCTTTTTATCACTGTTTTATAAAGTGTTGTTATGACGTGGAGGAATTTGATTCTGATTGTTCTTAAGGCTCTTTAAAAAGGTTAAATAGGATATCATGCTCCGTTATTTTAAAAAGTCTAAGAACGTTAGGTGTTTGCATTCGTGAGGAAACTGCCTTTCAAATATCATATTACAGGAAACGGCTCTGTTTTGACTTTAATATTTTAATTCTCGAATTGGTTTACCAGATTAATTTCTTTGCTCTAGTAAAGAATACTTCTTAATAGTTGTTAGTACATTGAAAACCACAATGTGGGAAAATGCAAACCGAATCTGTGACTTTTCTGTGACTCTCCAATCTACACTTGACTCTCGTGCTCCCATCATGACAAGAGAAGTCCGCAATCGCCCCGTCCCTTTGTTTCCAGTGACCTTAAGGAACTCATGGAGACCAGAGATCGGCTCCACTATCGCTGCCTCTTGTCACGCGACCCTGTTGATTGGTCAAACTACAACGAATCTCGCAATACAGTTAAAGGCCCCGTCTCACAAGCCCTTGCACATGTAATAAATCTGTGGGACGTTAAAGAACCCACACACTCTTCGTAAAGTGTAGGGCACGTAGTGCCCGGTGTAGTGACTATCTCACTTTCACACTCATTTATGGGGGCATCATCACTCATTCCTTGAGTACTTGTAAACTGCAACTTAAGCAGTCTGGCAAAGTCCCCCAACCAGTGTTGTAAATTATCCCTGAAAAGCCCTGTGGGGAGTGGATAATAAGATATTTACATAAATTGTACTTTCAAAGAAGTAGAGGAGCACAAACATAACCAAGGCTCACTGTGGAAAGTCATTAATCGTCTCATTCCATCAAAAGCACAAGACACGACACTCATACACTAAAGACCTAAAGGTAGTTGCCGACGAATTTAACGTATTCTTTTCTTCAGTTGGTAGAAATGCCGCACATGCAGCCGCCTGCTTGTCTGAAGAGAACAAGATCACCTTAGCTGAACCTCCTTTCGACTCTCACATCCCGGCCTCTGAAGAGCTGTTCAATTTAAAGCCAATGACCTTTGGAGACGTGTGACGCATTATTTTTAAGATACCCTTAAACAAGTTGCCTGGTCCTGAAAAAATCAATGCTGGCGTGATCAAAGATTGCCTGCCCGTTATCCTGGGACAGCTTACAGAGATCATCAATCGCTGATTCCCTCTTTCGCGTAATTTTTACGTGCGTACGTGAGTACAATTTACGTTCACAAATAAAATAGAGGCAATGCATGAAAGGTCGCACGTAAGCCAGTAGAACCTCACTCAACTTCATGTTTAGTCCCAACACTTAATATCTCGCCTCTATTTAATTTACGTCGTTAAAATTTACGTGCGTTAACGTGCGTAGCCAAAAACGCGTCAGTGAAAATCAACCTTCAGCCGTTGCCTCCAAGATCTGTGAAAGATCGAGCTAAATCAATTTAGCTCATACCTCACAAGTAACAACCGGCTTTCATCTCACCAAAAGTGGAAATAGGAAGTTTCACGAACTCAACCGAAACTCTCAATATTCATACTACGGATGCGATTTTGGGAGGAGTGGACAACAAGAAAGTTACTCAGTTTTTCCTTTTAAAAGGTTCTTTATAGATTTTAAAAAATAAAACCTGTTTTAAATTTTATGCTAAAAAGGCTCTTGCATAGAGAGGGTCTAACTGGCTAATTTTAGCCTAACAGGTTCTTAAAAACCAGGTACTAAGTCGCAGGTTTTTTCTTTATTAGATAATTTCAGTTTTCTCTTTGGAAAATAATTGTCCTCGTATCATACGGCGTTAAAGTTTATCCTCCGGACTACAGGTACTCGTCATTGCCCTTTTTTTGCACAGACTATTCATTGCCAGTAAGCTCATGTCTTCTCAGAGGACTATTTTTTGTAAAAATGCGGTTTTAAATATACTCCGATATCTCAAACGTTTTTCTACTGACAAGTAAATAAATAATATATTTCTAAAGTTCCATTATTTTTCATCAAGGATGCCAAAAATCATAGAAATCGGTTAAATTGCTCCTGCTAAAAACTCGATTCAAAAGCGTAACCAACCCATGTTAATAGGTTCGGGCCACCTTAAAAATTAGTGCTTTTGTCCTGAAACATTAAAATTATATTTTAAGTATGTAAAAGAAACAAAACAAAGACAAAGAAAATTTAACTAAAAGAAGAAAGTAAAGATGCAAATTAAATTCGCGAGTCCCCCCGCGGAAGAAGAATGGATAGGGGAGGTCTGAACAGTGCGTACCACTGCAAGAATTTCTATTACGCCCCCGCAGTGAGACGTGACCCCAAAAAGGAGAGAAAGAGAGTTGTGTGTCCCACAAACACTTGACACGGGGACCATCATGCCCGGAGGCTAACGTGGAAAAGAGAGGACTCTAGCAATATCAAGATGGGATGGCTTATGCGCCACTTGAGGCTAACGGCCTAAATAAGAAATTAACCCTAGAGATTGCGTACACTTGTATATATCAGTGTTGTCGTCCGTTTAGGAAAAAAAACTATTAGAACTTCATGGCACAAATGGCTCATTGGACAAGGGTGTAAGGCTGATTGTAAGTCATTTGCGCTTTGAAGTAGGGTTTCTGACTAACTTAAAATTTATGTTAATAGGGATATTTGACTTTTAAAGAGCTTAACACAAGTACTTTACTTACTTTGTCAAATGTAGGCCAACCCAACTAAAGTTGAATTCCTAGGGACCATAAAGTTCATGTTATGTTATGTCATCAGATCCTGATAAGAGATCTAATCAGCAAGAAAATACAGCCAAACCTCCATGTACGACCGCCTCTCGTAGGCGACCACCTCAAATAAGCGCTCACCTGTCCAAAAACACCAAAATTTTCCCAGTCAAGTCTCTGTAATCAGAAACTCTCGTAAACGATCTTAAGCGACCTTTCTGAGGCATTTGATTATCGCGATTTTGTGTCGTCCAAGCTTAAATAGCCATCCTTCAGCAAAGAATCTGGATTAGAATTTTCCCGCCAGTTATTGCGGGTAATTGATGAGATCAAACGAGGACGAAACAGCTGTCTTGCAGTGCTGCAATGCTTCTCTTCCTTCGGGTTATGTTTATGTATTGCAAAGCTTATTCTTCTAAGAAGTATCAGCTTTACTGCCCTATTTGTTATTTTGAAAATGCCATGGCCTATTGTTTTAACAGTATTTAAAAGTATTATCATGAATGAGAAAAAAAATAACAACCAAATAACTTCTCAAGACAGATAACTGACCAACCTTCTATTTGCTTCGTTTCACCTCAAATGACTGTACGATCTTTAATGCACATGAACGTTAATTCTTTCCCGTCTGAAGTCTGAATTTTTAATCTCTACACCTTCAACCTGTTTGACCCGGGGTGGGTTGGGGGAGGGGTACTTCCTTATAAGAGGCTAATGGGGATGTGCAGCTGGATGGGGTCGCATTTTCACGACTGGCCTGACTTTCATGGGGTCGCATTTTCAGTACAGTTACTAGAATGGGGTCGCACATTTTCGGATTTTTGGAGGTAGAAAGTTCTTCATATTTACGGTTAGCAAACGTACCAGACTGTTTGTACTGTAGATGAAAAGTAAAGTGTTCTTCAGTCAATTTAAAAAATGGGTAAGTTCGTAAAAATAGAAATTAATAAAGTGACTAAGCTGGGATCGCGAAAATTACATATTTTCCCAAAAGCGACTAAGATGGGGTCTATAATTGGCCACAGCATATACTTTAATGGGGTAGAGGCTCTGAGAGGCCAACGGCACATATCCAGCAAAAATTGACCCAAGGCCCCCCCCCCCCCCCCCCCCCCCCCCCCCCCCCCAACCCCCCCCCCCCCCCCCCCCAAGAGCCGTTCAAGTCACCAAGTCTCTGTCTCTTCACATTACACTCAGACTGTCAATAAAGTTTAAGTCACCAGATACATAACACCTCGCAGCGGGATTCACTACTGCTTCTCAAATAGGTATCAGTACCCAACAGGTAATTAATGTATCTTTTTAAAAGAGGTTTACTTCCTAATTATTTTCGTGATATGTTTACTCTTGCAAGCCAGATACATTCGCATAATACAAGAAATTCCAGCCTTTTGTATATACCTTATTATCGAACTAATTTTGGGAAATTCTCAATTCGGTTGCAAGGTCCTAAGTTTTTCAACTCGCTAAGTCGCGAAATTCAAAACGGTGAAAGTATCAGTTTGTTTGACACACGATTAAAAAAATTCCTTTAGACTACTTCTTTCTGAGTCAAATATACTCTTTGTTGAGCTACGTACTTTTCTTTTTCGTTTCTTTCTTTAATGTTAAAAATAAGCCATTTTCATTCAGTACCCTTAACTCACATGGCGTACCCTATATTGCCAGGAGGCCTATAGTGTATAAACCCCCGGCTTCTGTATAGGCTCCCTTGTCATGACCATTATGAACATTTGTAAAATAATTTACTTAGAATAGTGTCTGTTATCTTTAATATATTATAATTTTCTTGTATATTGTTGATGTATTCTTACGGGGTTAATGGCAAAATAAATGAATACATGAATGAATGAATGAACAGCAGTTCAAAGTTGATTGAGTGAAGTCATGATGACCCTTAACACTGTCAAAAGTATTTTTAACCTTTGCGTAACAGGCCAAACTTTAGAACTTTGACGTATTTGTACGCTAAAGGATAAATACTCATAGAATTGTTCAGAATCGATTCTTCTGACTCTATCTGGCTTAGATTGAAGATACAAATGGGTGAGCTACTTTCGCGAAATTGCGATGTGTTTTAGTTTCAGAAAAACAGCCGTGTTCAAGAAGGCATTATTTCCGCTGTTGTAAAGGCGAACATTTTCATCAAATGGGATTTCCAACTCGACCAGCAATTGCTTTAGATTCTTGAGGTCCAGTCGTCGATCTTGTAATAAAACCATGGCTAGAAGTTGCGCGTCATTATAATCTTCCCTGTAACTGAAATCCCACAGCAATCAAGCAATTCTGCATCCTGTGCTCCCCCATAAGCCGCGATCTGTTCCTGAACTTTTGCAGCGGCTTCCTTGAGAGACATGCGCTCAAATGTGCCAAATTCAAAGCGATTCCTATCCTTGTATTTGTACCTGTCAAAGAAAGAGAGATTCAAGTTCATCAATTGAATCGGTTGTGGTATTTACAGGAGTACTGTTCACTGGCCGTACTTTATCTTATGGCTATGAAAGTGCATATTTGTTATTTGACAATTAATGAAATCGATTTTCGTATCACATGAAGAATTATGGGATCTCGGAGGGTGTTATCCGTCGGGGCCGTAGGCCGAGGCGGTGTCAAGTAGTTGACGACCGTTGATTACTAAGTTGCCAGTAACTCTGGGGTTAGCGCATCCGACTATTATACGAAGGGTCCTGGGCTCAAAATTCCCATCTGGAGTTCACAATTCGATCTTTATATGCAGTTCTTCCCTTCACTCCAAGAGAGGATAAAGGGGACAGAGAAGGCATCCCCCATACACACCCTATTCCATAGGTAATTTAGCCTGTTCCAGGCGTTCAGATAGTGGGGAGCGGTGCTCTACTTTTCATCGCTTTCTTTACTTCGCACTGCTCTCCACTATCTGAACACTTGGAACAGGCTATAAGTAATTCGTCTCGAGTTATTTTTAGAATCGGGATAAAGTTACCTCGCACGCTGCGTGGATGTTTCGTGGAGGTTTCGCATGACTAAACGCCATGCAAAATATGTCGGTCGAAAGGCAATGAAAGCGTAAAGAGATCGAGAACATTCCTGAATATTGAAGCGAAATGAGTCGGTGCTCACCTGGGAAAAGGGAATCGCTGGACTCTTTGACAACCCGTGAAATCAGTTTAACTCGAATTTGTCGTAACCTCCTGGTCCTGGGTTCAAAATTCCCATCTGGAGTTCACAATTCTTTATACGCAGTTCTTCCCTTCACTCCAAGAGAGGATAAAGGGGAGAGAGAAGGCATCCCCCATACACACCCTATTCCATAGGTAATTTAGCCTGTTCCAGGCGTTCAGATAGTGGGGAGCGGTGCGAAGTAAAAAGGAGCGCGAAAAA